ATGCTATTATAGCTATCTGACCAGCAAATTATTTTTATGCTCAGTTAATCTTTTCCAATCTTAGTAAAACACATCTCTCACACACATCAGGAGGACTAAAATTTAACATAATTGTACCAGTTAGTACAGTATAATTTTTGATAGCATTTTTCACTGAAACAGGATTCACTTATATAGATATTAAGTGGATTGCTCATTTCTCTTCAGTATATGTTATATGACTAGAGACTCTGGAGAAATTTCTCCTTAGTAAGAATTCAGAAAACGGAACAGAGCACATAGTATACTAATATTTATTATACCAACAAAGGGGCCCTAAAGTACAGGGAAAAGGCCTCTTTCTTTTCCATATCAGGAGATGTGTCTATGTATGAATTAAGTCAGGTCAAGGGAAAGTATGCAAGGGTAAGACACTGCATGTACAAAGGAGATGACAAACTAATCTCCCAGATCTTTACAATGGGGAATTATCTCGTGGCCAACAAGTTGCAGGAGTATGAATTTTTAGCAAGTCTCTTAATGGTTCTACATCTAACACGCATAGTCCACAGGGAAAGTACTTTGAGAAACAATGCCTTAGCCTTGCCTTCCCTAGGTTAAGGCTCCTCAGACTTCCAGAAAGCCTAAGCCCAAACCCTGTCTCAATTATATGCTACTACAACAGCAGGTTCTAGTAAAAATTATTTATTTCCCTGGAAACCTATTTGGATTTAGCCCTTTTTATGGGGGGAGGGTAGTTTTAGTGGCTTGAGCACAGGGCCTGTGTACAATCCCTAAGTTTTTTTTTTGCTCAAGGCTAATGCTCTACCACTTTAAGCCACAGTTCCACTTCCAGTTTCCTGGTGGTTAATTGGAGACATACCCCTCCCCCCACCAGCCCCACTGCAGATCTCAGCTTCTGAGTAGTCAGGATTACCTGCCACCAAAACCTGGCTAGACCTTTCTTCTTTTTGTAACACCTTTGGAATTATTCTGAAATTAAACATTTACCTATTTGCCAAAGGCTATTTAAAATCTGTATCTTATCTGACTCCTTTTGCCTGGCTAATGGTTCATGCCTCCAGTTTTGCCAGTAAGAATGCTGGTTTCAAATTCCAGCAATGGTGCTTAACCAGAGTTATCTGAATCCATGTATTGTTTGGACCTAACCCTTGGTTTCTTCAATAGTAAAATAGTCACAACTGTATTTCCCTCTTAAGAGTTGTATAAGGGTTGAGAAAGACAGGAAAATAAACCATCTTAGCTCTGTGGTGGGCACCCTGTCAGCAAGCTCAATCCTTTAAACACTGCTGCTTAGGAAATGTGTTCCAACCCACTAAATCTAAGTCTCTTTTTGACTGACTAGGGGATGTAGCTTAGTGGCAGAGCACTGGCATAGCATGTACAAGACTCTGGTCTGATCTTTAGCATCAGGACAGAAAAGAAAGGAAGGGAAAACAAAACAGCAAAGTGTTTTTTATCTCACCTGAACCTCCCTATAAAGGACACTAGTATTGGGTATTCCCACATAAATACATGGACACATATGAACTGGAGTTAGTAGATATATGTAAAGAGCTCTTTGTAAGACCTTAATTCCCTAGGACAGAGAATCCTGTGTACTGATAAGCTTACTGCATGGCTGTAAGAAGAGGCACCAGGACTATGAATTTAGTATAGTATTAAATAAGGGTATAATCATCAGGTTTTTTTCCCTTCTAAAAATGCTGATATTTTAATTAAGGAAATAAGATAGCACAAAATGGCCAGAGTTCATCTGATAAGCGTGAAACTAGAGGAAGCTCCTGCAATTTCAAAGTTAATTCTAAGTCACAGAAAGGAAATTAAACATTCTGTACCAGAACAAAGGCAAAGGAAGAGGAGAAGAAAATATTGTATTATAATTAATAGCATTAAGGAGTACTTTTGTCTTGGCAAAAATAAATTCTTAAATCAACTTTAGAGTATGGCTGCATTTGTAGGCTTAGCACCATGAAACCTGTGACAGTAATTAATGTAATAAATCATCCTGTGGACTTTTCTACAGTATCTGACAGCATTCATTGATATATTGCTTATTAGAGACTTTAGAGCTTTCTCTCTCACTTCTTTATTATACTGCCAGAGACACTGAATCAAGAATACCTTTTTGTGTTGTGTCTGAAATATCCGCTACTGGTGTAATATATAAAATATATAGTGAGCTGCTGCCAGCAGCCTTTGATATACGACATGTCATATACATTTCAGAAGCAATCTTGCTTTTTTAACTCTCATTTTCCTTGACTTAAGGCAGTAGAAGATACATAGATTCACTGTAGATGCAATATTTACATTTTCCACAGAATGTAAATTCAGTAATAAAGTCTCCATTTTACACTTGTTTATCTCGCCTTTTTAGTTCACTCTTTAATGATTCACATAGTATACAACACAGAATCTTCTGAACAGATATAATGTCATCAACTCACATATGATTTTTCACTGTTTTTAACATCTGATTTTTTGGTAAAAAAAAATCTGTTCAGCATCATTTCCAAAAGTAAAAACTAGATTCTTTCCCAGTTCAGGAATTCAGCCATGACTATTATATTTCAATGAGTTTACATACCTCTTTAATTTGTTGTGCATAAGTAACTCCTAATTTCTAAGTATTTGAAGTTTAAAATATAGATGGTACTGAGGTTGAAGGCATGGCCAATGAGCAAAAGCATCAAGTACCTGGTTCAAGTCCCGGACTCAGACCAAAAAAATAATAAAATAGATAAAAAATAAGATGGTTTAAAATATAACTTTTATATAAGGAAAGGAGATTTTAAGTACTTTTCCCTAATAAAATGCCTCCATTAGTTTCATCATAAAATAATAATATAAAACACTCTCTTAAAATACTAAGACTATAAAGAAGGTAAAAACTATCCAAAAGTAGCCGTTAGAGACATTTTGGTATATATCTTTCCAATTCAAAAAATTTCATAACTGGTCCCCTGTCCCCCCGACCCAAAAAAAAAGCACTGGTGGCTCAAGCCTGTAGTCCTAGCTTCTCAAGAGGCCGAGATCCAAGGATCTAAATTTGAAGACAATCCTCTAATTAGTCATCAAAAAGCTAAAAGTATATGTGTGGCTCGAGTGGTAGAATGCCAGACCCGAATGAAATACCCAAGTGAGAGTACAAGTACAGGGGAAAAAATTACCTCAGGGCTAGGAGCATGACCCAAGTAGTAAAATACTTTCCTAGCAAGCACAACCCTGAGTTCAAACCCTAGTATTACCCACAAACACACACACACACACACATACACATACACACACCACACACATCAAAGTTCCTCTCTAGTACTGAAAATTGACTACGTCATCACATATGATACTGATGAGCCCAGCTGTTTTAAATTTTAATTAAAATATTAATTACTAAGTTTTAGTATAGTACTCATATTTCTTTTGTCTTATTTTGTTTTTCTCTGAAAATGTTGCTTTGTTATATATTCAAGTGAAAAACTACTTTTTACTTAGTAATGCCTGAATGGTCATTCAAAAATACAGATTTTAAGAACTAAGCAAGGTGCCAGTGTTTCATGCCTGCAATCCTGGTTTCTCATGCCTGTAATCCTACCTAGCAAGAAAGCTTAGCAAGCACAAGGACCTAAGTTCAAACTCCAATACTAGGGCTGGGAAGGTGGCTCAGTGGTAGAGTGCTTGCCTAGCATGCATGAGGCCCTGGGTTTGATTCTTCAGCACCCCATAAAACAGAATAATCAGAAGTGGCACCTGTGGCTCAATTGGTAGAGCGCTAATCTTGAGCTCAAAAGCTGAGGGACAGCACCTAGGCCCAAAGTTCAAGCCCCACGACCAACCAAAAAAAACAAAAAACAAAAAAAAACTCCAGTACTCCCCTCCCACTCAAAAAAGGGAAAAAGGGCTTAAGAATTTCATATCAAATTTATTATCCATTGGTGATTCAACAATCTTCCTTAGCTCAAGAGGGTTTTCTATACCTACTTGCAAACAAGCTATGGTTCACATGGCTGCCTGAGAGCCATTTAAATCCACGTTGCTCTCCGGCTTGATTTCCTTCAATACTGAAGTTCAGTCCTCAGTATTTCCCACCAGGTTCTGGTCTGTCTCACCAGTTCCATTTGAAACCAGGCCAACCTGGTTTCCTCTAATGTGGCCACAGGGCCTCAGGTTTTCAAATGTGCTCTTTTACTATCTCCTCTCCCAAGAGTTTGTATAAGCTGAGCTCTCTCATCAGGACTCTACTCCTGACCTCTCAACCTTCACAATCAGCTCAAATGTCACTCTTTAAGAATTTTCCAACATCCTCCCTTTACTATAACTGATCCTCTTCTCCTTCCTATCACAGTTTTTCTAAAAATTCGTAATTATCTACGTGAAATTATTTGACTAATATCTGTAATCTAAGTTTCACAAGAGACTTTTTTCTCTCACTGACTCATCCATTGTTGAAGAAATGAATATTACACACTCAATATTTGTTAAATAAGTAGACCAATTTGACTATCAGAACAAATACACTAAAACTACCTAAAAAGAATATAAAGTCAAGAGAAAACACAGGAAAGTTACATTTTCTAGGAATTTTACTATTTACATTTTTGCTTCAACATTTGCAGGGAGCTGGGACAAACGCCATTACAAGATGGCGCCCAACTCCTTTCAGCTTAGAGGTAAACAACTCCACATTAGGCAGTGCTTGGCGGGACTGCGGGTCCCTAGCTTTGCGCATGCACCATCATCGTAAATCCTGAGCCAATCCCGTGGCACCTGGTGACGGCAAAAGGCGGACAGCCAATCCTGAAGCGACCCGTGTTCCAAACCCTATATAAGCGGCTGTATTTTCTTGCTCGCTCTCTTGTGCTCAAGCTCTCCCTTCAACTAAAAGGCTCTCCGATAAAGTGTGATCTGAGAAGACTCCTGGTGTGGTGGTCGTTCTTCCTCGCTGGCCGAGAAGGCGTTCGCCGCAAGTGGTGCCGAAACCCGGGACCTGCGCAAGAGGTCGAACAGGAGCCAGAACTCAACACACGGAGAGGAGACGTCGGTAAGTATCCCTAGGTATGCTGTTTTTTACTATGGACTATTGGTTGTTTACATTGCTGCTTCCTTTGTGGTTTGTCTTTCTGGTGGTTCTCTGTGCCTGTCTGCGTTGTGGGGATGACCACAAAGAGGGGGTCTCAAGGAGACCCCTGTACCCTTCTTTGAAGGAATTTTCAAACCGGTTCTCAGCCCTACATGTGGAAGGGCAGGACCAAGAACGCAGTGATCCTGTGAGTGACTCAGAGCAAGAAATGTTAGAGGAGGAGGGAGAGCAGCTCGATCCAGCTGATAATGAAGACTTAGAAGAGGCTGCGGCTGAGTATGAGGCAGACAGATATGGGGGGTGGCGTCCCCAAACGATAAGAGTACCGCAGCAGCCAGAAAGGAGGAAAGGAGCTGGCCCTCACCTGTCGGTCCCTCCCCCGCCGCACCCGCCGGCGGGGCGGAGTCACTTTATAAAAGGGAGCACATGGTCGCGGCTGGCGGCCGCATTTCCGGTTTTTGAAAATCCAATTACTAATGAAAGAAATTTTGAGCCGGTTTCCTACTCCCAGCTTAAGGATTTAGTTGAGGCAGTCCGGACTTATGGAGTGACGGCTAATTATACCATAGCCTTACTCCGAAGGCTGACTGTTAATGCCATGACGCCTACGGACTGGTTCGAGGTGGCCCGCACCTGCCTTAACCACGGGCAATTTCTTTTTTTTTTTTTTTTGTCGGTCGTGGGGCTTGAACTCTGGGCCTGGGCGCTGTCCCTCAGCTCTTCAGCTCAAGGCGAGCGCTCTACCACTTGAGCTACAGCGCCACTTCCAATAGTTTCTTTTTTTTTTTTTTTAATTTCTTGATTTTCGATCTATTGTTCATGATAAGGCTCAAGCTCAATATAGACAAAACGTCCATGATGGGAATCCTGATTGGACTGTAGACATGCTTCTTGGGCAGGGACCCTTTGCCGTGGATCAAATGGGGTACCCCTTTGAAGTGTACCGGCAAGTGAATACCCTTTTTTACAAATCCTGGCGAGCTCTTCCAAACAAGGGGGAGATGGCGGGCAATTTAACAAAAATCACTCAGGCCCCTAATGAACCATTTTCCGACTTTGTTGCTCGCATGCTGGAGACAGCTGAGCGGGTGTTAGGAAATTTGGAGACAGCCATGCCATTTGTGCAACAAATCATTTTTGAACAAAGTACTCAGGAATGTCAGAGGGCAATTACCCCAGTTAGAACTCAAAGCCTGGAAGCTTGGATAAAAGCCTGTAGAGAGGTGGGTGGCCCTCTGACCAATGCGGGGCTGGCGGCTGCTGTTTTGTCAGCTACCAGGGCCGCAAAAAATAATAAGGGAAAAGGATGTTTTCGGTGTGGTCAGTTGGGACATGTTAAACGGCAGTGCCCTCAAAATGGTGGTCCTGCACAAAACACGCCCAGGCCGCTAAGGACTCCAGGGGTGTGTCCTCGTTGTAAAAAGGGGAAGCATTATTGTAGGCCAGATCGGGAGGATGCAACCCTTTGTGGTTGACGTCCCCGTTAACCTTTGGGGAAGAGATGTACAGCAACAGCTAAAGTTAACCTTGACTAATGATTATTCCGAGGCCAGTCAAAACATGATAAAACAACAAGGATTTGTTCCAGCCCTGGGGCTTGGGCGATGTCTCCAAGGATGCAAGGAGCCAATAGAGCCACTTCCTAAGCAGGATAGAAAGGGTTTGGGTTTTTCTTAGGGGCCCCTGAAAACAAAGCTTCCACTAAAGGTGCGGTGCCCATACCTTGGTTATCCCAAAAAGCGGTGTGGGTTCCTCAGTGGCCCCTCTCTCAAGAAAAGTTGGAAGCAGCACAAACCCTTGTTCAGGAACAGCTACAGTTGGGGCATGTTGAACCTTCCGTGTCATCCTGGAACACCCCAATTTTTGTAATAAAAAAGGCCTCTGGAAAATGGAGACTGCTACATTACCTTCGAGCAGTAAATGCTCAGATGCAGATCATGGGACCGGTGCAAAGGGGGCTCCCCCTGCTTTCGGCATTACCTAAAGAATGGCCTATTTTAGCCTTAGATATTAACGATTGTTTTTTCTCCATACCGCTCCATAAATAGGACAGGGAGCGCTTTGCTTTTACTTTACCTTCAGTTAATCATGAAACTCCGGATGCTCGCTACCAGTGGAAGGTTCTCCCTCAGGGGATGGCTAATAGCCCAACAATTTGTCAATTGTTTGTAGGAGCTGTGTTGGCCCCTGTTAGAAAAAACTTTCCAAAGGTACGGATTATCCATTATATGGATGATATCTTGTTGGCTGCTCCTTCAAAAGAGACTCTTCATAGAGTGTTTGGGCAGATAACGGAGACCTTAGCTGAGAAGGGATTGATAATTGCCCCTGAAAAGGTTCAACAGACTAGTGTTGTTCAATTTCTGGGAACCATTGTTTCTCCCAATGAGATTAAGCCGCAAAAGACCGGGTTGCCTTATAATCCTCAAGGACAAGGTATAGTGGAAAGAGCCAATAGAAGCATAAAAGAAATGCTTCAAAAACAAAAAGGGGGAATTGCTGAGTCAGCATCCCCCAGGGAAAGACTTTCCCTTGCGCTCTTTACCCTCAATTTTTTAATTTTAAATGATAAAGACCAGTCTGCAGCAGACCGGCATGTGACAAGAGACTCTACAGACAATAAAGACATGGTTATGTGGAAGGATGTCATTGATAACAAATGGTATGGACCGGATCCGGCTATTACGAGATCCAGGGGAGCTGTTTGTGTTTTTCCACAGGATCAAGAAACACCACATTGGGTCCCAACTCGGCTAACAAGATTGGTCAAGGAAACTCAGGACGGAAAACAGGATGATCAAGAAGGCGTTGAGCGTGATAATATTACTGATGGTCAAGACCTATCACAGTCAAGGAGAGCTACGATGGGGGATCCTATCGGTGTTCCCGAGGCCGATGCCAGTTAGGCACGATGCCCGCCTTTTTAACAAAACCATGGATCTCCCGTACCTCACACTGGATGTGGAAGAAGCGCCCATCAGAAAAAATCGATCCATTTCCCTAAACGGGAGCTTGTGCTTCCAATTGGTTAAAAATGCATCTGCCCTTTCTCCAGGCATCCTGCTCTTATCTCAAACAGCAGTTATCTTTTAGGTAATTGGACTGGCGAGTTTGATGAGATGCTGGAGCAGCTGCGGATTGCCATTGTGATTGTTAATTCAACGCGAGTGGATCCCGGATTTGTGGAAGGGCTCCAGTCCTGGATTTCCTCCGCTGTTTCCTGGTTTAAGGAGTGGGTGGGAGTTGGAATTTTTTTAGCCTGCTGTTTGGGCGGATGCGTGGTCTGCCTATGGTTGGTCTGTCGCCTTCGAGCCCAAACCAGTAGGGACAAAGTTGTTATTTCGCAAACATTAGCCGCCTTGGAGAGTGGATCCTCACCCCAAATTTGGCTGTCGGCCCTGAGAGGTCATTAAGCCTTATCATTTCGCATAGCCCTAGCACCCCGAGGGATCTGGGGATCCCATCGCACCGGGACGGGTATGTGACTGATAACTTGGAACAGGGTGTAAGGCAAACGCACTGCACTTGGGCAAACGCACTGCACTTGGGCAAACGCACTGCACATGGGAATCACTTCCTGGCGTAAGCCCAAGAAGAGCACGTTGGGCTGCAAGTGGGTTGATGCCCAAGATCCCACCTCTGCAAAAAAGGCATCGGACGGGCCTGGTCGTCACTGGGGAAGGCGCCCCCCAGGCGAAGGCCAGTGCAAGGTCCTCTTTTTGAGGCAGAGGCCCGACCTCTACTCTTACCTGTTGCCAAAACAAAAAGGGGGAACTGCAGGGAGCTGGGACAAACGCCATTACAAGATGGCGCCCAACTCCTTTCAGCTTAGAGGTAAACAACTCCACATTAGGCAGTGCTTGGCGGGACTGCGGGTCCCTAGCTTTGCGCATGCGCCATCATTGTAAATCCTGAGCCAATCCCGTGGCACCTGGTGACGGCAAAAGGCGGACAGCCAATCCTGAAGCGACCCGTGTTCCAAACCCTATATAAGCGGCTGTATTTCCTTGCTCGCTCTCTTGCGCTCAAGCTCTCCCTTCAACTAAAAGGCTCTCCAATAAAGTGTGATCTGAGAAGACTCCTGGTGTGGTGGTCGTTCTTCCTCGCTGGCCAAGAAGGCGTTCGCCGCAAACATTCAATAAAATCCATTCAGAGCCTCAGCCTAGGAGGCATCATTCTGAGAGTGCCTACCCTAATTTTTAAACAGTGGTTTTTACCTCTTCCAGACACAATGAAAACAGCTGGAGATTAGAAGTAGAAATAGAAGAGCAGAAGCTCGAAGTGAGTTGTTTTTTTGTTTTGAAAAATAAAGAAAACTGAGAAGAGGCTGCTTATATTCTAGAACAGTACGTCCAGTTAAGGAGTAGGATAGTGAACCACATCACTGTTGCTAAGCATATGAACTTGGGCATCAGACTCCTGGGTTAAGAATACACTGTTGGTGGGAATGGAAACAAGTACAACCACTCAAAAACTGAAACATAGACTAACTTATGACCCAGCAATACTACTCTTGGATATTTACCCAGAGCATTACAAGTCAGAATACAGTAAAGACACATGCACATCCATGTTCATTGCTGCACTACTCACAATAGCCAACTGAAGAACCAACCCAAATGCCCTACAAAAGATGAGTGGATCAAGAAAATGTGGTAACATATATATGATGGAATTTTACTAAGTCTTTAGAAAGAAAAACATGTCATTTGCAGGGAAATTGATGAACTTAGTAGAACAGATTATGTTAAGTGAAGCAAGCTAGGCTCGGAAAGAGTGTATGTTTTCTCTCATATGTGGAAGCTAGATCTAAAATACAACTAGGCATGGTAACATGTACAGGGCTCAATGCATTTAAACAATAACAAACTGATTAAAGGACGATATACTTAGGGTAGGACTGTAAAGGCATAAATCCACTGAACAACTAAAAAATACTATTTATCAAAACAAATACTAGGAAAGAAAAACATTTTTTGGGAGGGGATAGAAAAAGAGAAGTATAGGAGTGGAGGAAGGGTAAGAAAATGCAGTCGGGGCTGGGAAGGTGGCTCAGTGGTGGAGCACTTGCCTTGCATGCATGAGGCTCTGGGTTCGATTCCTCAGCACCCCATAAGCAAAAAGAAAAAAGCTGGAAGTGGCGCTGTGGCTCAAGTGGTAGAGCGCTAGCCTTGAGCTAAAAAGCTGAGGGACAGCACCCAGACCCAGAGTTCAGGCCCCACGACCGGACCAAAAAAAAAAAAGAAAGAAAATGCAGTCATTGTATTTCATATATACTATGGAAAAAGTGAGCTATACAACTTGTAGGTAGAGACAGGAGGGGGAAAATGAAGGAGGGGGGTGACATTGTCCAATGCTAGTAAAGCGTTGTACTCATAACCTAATTTGTGGAATTACAATCCTTTTGTGCAACTCCTTAATAACAAGTAAAATTAATAATAAAAACAGAAAAATCCAGTCTTTCACCCTTTCCTTGTGTGACCTTGGGTAACTTTAATCTTTCTTAACTTTAATCTTCGTTCCTTCATCTGCAAAATGGAGTTTAGTTTATTATACACCTAATATACAGCTGTGTGAACCAAGTTAACATAAGTAGTTATTGAGATAATAAGTACTCTTAGCATTGGCTATTATTATTATTTTGCATGCAGTAATCAAGGAGAGTGAGTCAAGAGACGTGGCTCTATGGACTGAAGAGAAGTTTGGAATTAAATAAGAATTACCCATTGTCAACAGTTCATCAGTATAACAGAAATGAGTGTTTGAAAAGTGTTTTTCATGAGTTTGCAGACATTTCCTGAGTTTGATGACTGAGCAAAAAAAAAAAAAAACAAAAAACCACAGCACATAATGTAACATCTGATGAATCCAAGAGATGAAATGCTATACCCATAATATAAAGTTATTACAATTTTTTTTATTAGATGTCATTTCTTGAGGCTAGGCATGGTAACACTTGTGGCCCCAGCTACTTGGGATGTGGAGGTAGGAGGATCATGGCAAGGACAGCCTGGGTGAAGTTAGCAGAAGACCCTATCTGAAAAGCAAACAACAAAAACCCCTAAAAGATGAGCATGGCTCAAATAGTATACCACTTTCACAACAAGCACAAGCCCCAAGCTCAATCCCCAGTGTGACAAAAATAAAAATTAAAAAAAAAAAAACAAAGAAGTAATTTCTTCCTTTAAATTTACATTCAATTTACATGACTGCCTACCTTAGTCAATAGAGATCAAAATATAAAGGCATCTTATACTGAAAATGGATAATAAAATAGAAAAATAAAAAGGAGTTATTAATCAACCTGAAATAAAAGATATATGGCACATAAAGCAAAAGAAAAACAGATAACACATAAAAATGGAAATGCACAAAACCCTAATAAATTATCTCCTTCTCTTGTAAGCTAGGCTATTAATATTCATTAAATTCCACCCAAGAAGCAATAACCTAATGGATAGGGGGAGGATGCTAATTTCTCTAAGTGGGTCAGTGGATGATAACAAAACATGTTTTTGAAGAATTCATTATAAAATAAAAATTTTTTTTTCAGTGTGGATTAGCATTCTATTATCCAGTTATAAGTATAGGCAGCACAAGAAAATAAACCTTTCTCTTCACGACAAGATGGCTGCTTTCCATAACACAGAATAATTTAACAACATTGATTATAATAGCACACGAGTGTTGAAGAGCTAGTGACCAATGACATAAATCTTCGTATACTCTAGAGGCTAAAAATATTTTGTAAAAGGGAATTTCAGGCATTATTCTATTTTTTTTTTTACATTTTTCCCCAGAGCTGAGGACTGAACTCAGGGCCTTGCACTCACCAAGCAAGCCCTCTTCCACTGAGCTAAATCCCCAACCCCTCAGGCATTATTTTAAAAGAATATAAATTTATAATCTTTGACTTGAATCTACTGATACTAGTTATACTTTTTTTTTTATCTTTCCTGCTGAAAGAAGGGTGACACTATTTAATAAATGATTTTTCCATTTTCAACTCTCAGCAGCCATTTTATGTGCTGTCTTTGTCAGAGGTCTCCAGATCTTTTTGATTGTATAGCCCTATACATAAAAATGCTCTTGAACAAGAGCTATGAAATATGTGTATACACTAAATATGTATATCCTGTCAGTATACGAGAAGCTACTATAGCTTAATTTATTTTATGGCTTAAGTAAGAAATTTGATATTTCATTCTGGCACCACTGTGGATCACCGTGTCTGTACTGAAAAACACTGAGCCCTAGCAGATGCAGTGACAAGCTTTTGTCATTTTTTTGAAATTAATACAATTCTCTATCAATCACTGAGAGATGAAGAAAGGTCATTAACAGCTTTACTCTTTGATGATAGATAGTTGTCATGAAAGTACGAAGATTTGTGGATGATTATTACGAGTGAAAAATATGGGTACCTCTAATATTTTAAAACTCTAATATCACTCAAGTACGATAAATGCATGTATGAAATATGCCTACCATTTTGTACAATATATGCCAACAAAAAACCCTTGTATATAAATGCAGTGGAAAAATATGAACAGATGCTCAAGATTGTCAGTCACCAGAGTAATATGAACTGAAATCACAATGAGATACCACTTTACATTGTTTTGATTAGGCTATACTCAAAAGTCAGATTATAATACATGTTGGCAAGGATGTGGGGGTGGGGAAACTTTTTTCTTTTGTCAAGGGCCATTTACATATTTATAACACCATTCAAAACCATATAAAATTATCAATACAGGCAGACAGCTGAGGATAACTGACGA